AGAGGTTCTCGGAGTTGTCTTGTATGCCTATAAGACTTCAGGGAGGTCATCGGCCCAATTACCTTTAGCAGTGCCAAGTTGGGCTTTCAAAGTATGCTTGATGGTTTTGTTGACAGCTTCAACTTGGCCATTTGCTTGTAGTCTTGCGACTGAGGCGAACTTTTTATGAATTCCCAACTCATCGCAAAACTGCTTGAATTCCTCGTTATCGAACTACTTCCCATTATCAGAGATGAGGGTATGAGGAATTTTATAACGGCACACTATGCTTTTGAAGACAAAGTCCGTGAGCTTTTTGGTAGTGATCGCGGCCAAGGGTTCGGCCTCAACCCACTTAGTGAAGTAATCCACCGCATACTTGACCCCTCATTTACCAACTAGCATGGGTCCAATAAGATCGATTCCCCACATGGAGAATGGCCAGGGGTTGGTCATAGTTATCAGCTGGTAGGAAGGAACTCATGGTACATTCACAAACCGTTAGCACTTGTCATACTTTTTAACAAAGTTGTGGGTATCCTCTTGGAGTAGGAGCCAGTAATACCCTTGATGAACAACTTTGTTAGCGAGGGATCACGCGACAGTGTAATTATCGCAGATCTCTTCATGTATCTCTCTCATGATATAATTTGCTTCCTCATCGGTTACACATTAGAGAAAAGGGGCGCTAAACCCGCGCTTATACAGTTGATCTCCTATAAGCGTGTAACGAGCAGCTCTAGTTCGCATGGTTCTCGCCTCGATCTTGTTGTTGGGCAAGGTCCCATCTCAGAGATACTGAATAATCAAGGTCATCCAGGAAACTGACTCGATCACATTCACGGCCTGTTCGGGCGAGTTTATACTAGGGATCTTAATGAACCGAACAGGAATACTTTCTGGCACATCTGAGTCTAGCGACGAGGCTATCTTTGCCAAGGCATCCACGACAAAATTATTGTCTCTAGGGATCTACGTGATCGTGAAGTGCTTGAATGGCTCGAGCGCGGCTTTAGCTTTCTTCAAATAACTGATCATGTTTTCTTCCTTGGCCTGATATTCTCTCACGACCTGGTTAACAACCAGCATGGAGTCGTTGTGGATGCTAATCGCGGTCGATCCCATTTCTCTTGCCAACCGTAGACCATCGAGAAGAGCTTCATACTCAACCTCATTGTTGGTCGCTTTGAACCCAAACCGGAGAATGCCATGAATGCGAGTCCCTTCGGGACTAAAGAGGAGAAGGCATGCTCCAGCCCTCTTCCTGTTCAAGGATCCATTAACATAGAGGCTCCAGGTCGACAGATTTTGAACGGTTTCCTAGGTGACTTCGTTGGCCTGTCGCTTGGATTCCTTAACTGGTTGATATGAGAATTTCGAGATGAAATCGGCAACAGCCTGCCCTTTGATGGTTGCTTTTGGTCTATACTGCAAATCGAACTAACTTAGTTTCATAGCCCACTTGAGCAACTTACCCGAAGCCTCTAGTTTCTAGAGGACTTGTTTGAGCGGATAGTTGGTCAATACATGAATTGTGTGGGCATGGAAATAAGGTTGCAACTTCCTGGAGGTGATCAGCAGGGCATAAGCTAATCGCTCAATTTCTGGATACCGCATTTCGGCGTCTAACAGATGCTTGCTCGCGTAATATACTGGCCATTGTACCCGGTCTTCCTCCCGGATTAAAGCTGCACTGACCACATACTAAGAGACGGACAGATACAGAAGAAGAATTTCTTGAGGGAGAGGCTTGGACAAAAGAGGTGGCTTTCCGAGGTGCTCTTTAATGCTCTGGAATGCTTGTTCGCACTCGGGAGTCCATTCGAATTTCTTGTTGGCCTTGAGTATATTAAAGAATGGCAAGCAGGGATCTGTTGCCTTTGATATGAAGCGACTTAGTGCTGTTATTTGCCTATTGAGACTCTGAACCTATTTTCGATTGGTCGGGCTTTTCATATCAAGGAGAGCTTGGATCTTTTTGGGGTTGATATCTATTCCCTTCTGGTTAACCATGTACCCCATGAATTTTCCCGAGGATACTCCAAATGAACACTTGAGAGAATTAAGCTTCATTCTGTATCTCCAGAGTATACTGAACATCTCAACGAGATGCGCTATGTGATCTGAAGCGACATGTGATTTGACTAACATGTCATCAACATAGACTTCCATTGATTTTCTGATCAGCTCGAAAAACATCCGGTTAACCAGTCACTAGTAAGTCACCCCAGCGTTCTTTAGGCTGAATGGCATAACCTTGTAGCAATACAGCCTCTGATCTGTAACAAAGGAGGTATGCTCTTCGTCCGGCGCGTACATTAGAATCTGATTGTATCCCGAGTAGGCGTCTATAAAACTTAGCAGCTCGTGCCTGGAGGTGGCATCAACGAGCTGGTAAATTCTTGGCAAGGGAAAGCTGTCTTTCGGACAGGCTTTGTTGAAGTCAGTGAAGTCAACACAGGTTCGCCATTTATCGTTAGGCTTCTTTACCAAAATCGGCCATCCACTGACTCTCTGGTTTTTGCAGGGCTTAAGGAAAACGAAGATGGGCGCTCGCGGCTAGGGCAACCTGCAAAAGAAAAGGGCATGAATTTATATGCAAAGATGAAAGGCCCAGATTTCATCTCGCGATCTGACGGCCAGAAGCTGATTGCGTTTTTAAATGCATCTAACTGCTCAAATCGAGCCACGTCACAATCAGAGTCAAACAGGCCAACCAACTGATCAACTGGGCCCAAGTCTTAGTCAAACGGATCTAGAAACGGGTCCAATGGGTCTGACAATTCACTCTCTAATCGGGGGCAATTATATTGTGACTATTGCAAACGGACCAATCATGATCGAGACCATTGCTGGAAATTACATGGTCGCCCTAAAGACAAAAATAATAATTCTTCTTCTTTTCAGGTTGATTCAGTTTCTTCCAGCAATCCGCAAGCACCCGTTCTCACTTCGGATCAATATAATCAATTACTTCAGCTTCTGAATAATGCTCCCACCGCACCTACAGCGTCTTATGCAGGTACTTCCTACTGCTTCAATTTAATTACTACTGACATGTGGATTATTGATTCAGGAGCTAGTGATCACATCATTTGTCATCCAAAATTTTTCCACTCTATTTGCACTACCTCATCCACCTCTGTTCGCATGCCGAAAGAAAACATAACCCCGGCCACTCACATAGGCACTGTCCAATTATCCAAAAATTTATTCCTTAAAAATGTCCTATGTGTCCCTACTTTTCATTTTAACCTCATATCAGTATCCAAACTATGTGAAGACAATACTTGCACTATAAAATTATGTCCTAACACATGTGAATTTCAGGACCCTTCGACTGGAAAACTGATGGGCTTGGGTAAGGTTCATAAAGGTATATACTACTGGGCACCGGCTAAGTCTTCTAGAATTTTTCATCCATGTATTACACCTAATAAAATTACCAATTGTAATGCAACAATTAATAAAACTCTTTTATTCTCCATCAAAGGTTAGGTCACAGTGCTACTATTCCCCAACCTCATTGTCCCATCTGTCCGTTAGCTAAACAAGCCCGAATTACTTTTCCACATAGCACTTCCACTACGACACAACCTTTTGCCCTAATCCATCTTGATATTTGGGGACCTTATCACACTCCAAATCATGATGGATCCTGTTTTTTCCTCACCATTATTGATGACTTTTCTCGGGGTACATGGACTTTTCTCATGCAATCCAAAGCTCAAACACTTACCCACATCACACACTTTCTAGCCATGGTCAACACACAATTTCATACTTCTGTCCAAAGGATTAGAACAGACAATGCTAGAGAATTCTTTAATCATAATTGTTCTTCCCTTTTTTCATCACTCGGGATATTGCATGAAAGCTCTTGCTCCTATACTCCACAACAAAATGGGGTTGTCGAACGAAAACACCGTCATCTCCTAGAAGTAGCCCGTGCCCTCAAACACCAAGCCCACCTACCTATCTCTTTTTGGGGCGAATGTGTGATCACTGCTACCTACCTGATCAACCGCATGCCCAGTAGAGTCCTTCATGGAAATTCCCCTTATGAGGTATTATTCCAGAAGCAACCATCTCTTGATCATCTTCGAGTATTTAACTGTATTTCTTATGTTGCCACTCTTGGATCACATGATAAGTTTGGTACTCGGGCTACCCATTGTGTTTTTATGGGATATCTTATGCTTCAAAAAGGATACAAGCTATATGATCCAGTTACCAACAAGTTTTTGATCTCCCGAGATGTAGTATTTCATGAAGACATTTTTCCATTTGCCACAGAAGACACTATTCCATCACCATCACCATCACCATCACCATCACCTCAAGTGTTCCCTGATAATGATACTCTTCAAGATCCTCTATTCACTATGGTTCCTAATCCACCAGTTCTTCAACCTAGTACTCCTACTATTGACCCTAACACAACCAACACTGATAACACTACAGCAGATCCACCTAATCAACCCCTTATTCCTCCACCCAGTTCTCCTCTTCAAGCTCCTACTGTTCATGTCCGTCGCGGCACTCGTCAGCCCAAACCACCAATCTGGGCAGCAGATTATGAGTGTCCCACCATTTCAGATCCTTCAACTCCACTGTATCCCACCTCAAACTATGTGACTTATGATCGTCTCTCTCCTATATATAGAGCTTGTATCAGTAACATCTCCACAGAAAGAGAACCCACTAGTTACTTAGAGGCTGTTCAACACTCTCACTGGCGTCAAACCATGGCTGCTGAGCTTACTGCTCTCTCTCATAATCATACTTAGGACCTCGTGCCTCACCCCTCTCATAGAAAACCTATTGGCTGTAAATGGGTCTACAAAATCAAGCATCGTGCTGATGGCTCCATAGAACGGTACAAAGCTTGATTAGTGGCCAAGGGATACACTCAGCGGGAAGGTTTTGATTATCAGGACACCTTTTCCCCCGTAGCCAAACATGTCACCATTCGTACTTTTCTTACAATAGCTTCTATTCGTGACTGGCCTCTCCATCAAATGGACGTTCATAATGTCTTTCTTCATGGGGATCTTCATGAAGAAATATATATGGATCTTCCGCCGGGATTACGCAGACAGGGGGAGAACACAGTATGTCATCTGCAAAAATCCCTCTATGGGCTAAAACAAGCATCTTCGACAATGGAATGAGAAATTCAGTAAAGCTCTTACTGGCATAGGATTTGTTCAGTCCAAACATGACTATGATTTATTCACTTGGAACAAAGGTAAAACTTTTATTGCTCTCATCATATATGTCGATGACATTCTTATTACGGGGAATGATGAAACATGCATCAAATCCTTAAAGGAGCATCTTAATAGACAATTTCGAATAAAGGATTTAGGAGAGCCAAAGTATTTCCTAGGCATTGAAATTGCAAGATCCTCAGCAAGAATATCCCTTAGCCAACGGAAATATGTCTTAGAAATTATCTATGATTCAGGACTATCAGGATGCAAGCCAAGTATCATTCCAGTAGAACAGAATACAAAGCTGACTACTCAAGAATATGACAGTGGGATATCATCTTCCGAAAATGATCCACCATTGGAAGATCCTACAAAGTATCAAAGACTTGTTGGGCGATTGATCTATCTCACCATGACTCATCCAGACATTAGTTATGCAGTCCACATTCTTAGCCAGTTCATGCATAGGCCCAAACATTCTCACATGGATGTAGCAATAAAGGTTCTAAAGTACTTGAAAGGATGTCCTGGATTAGGACACCTCCTTCCCCGAGACAAAGAATTAGTTGTCACAGCTCATTGTGACTCAAACTGGGCCACATGTCCAATGACAAGAAAGTAACTTACAGGTTTCTGTATCAAGTTAGAGGGAGCTCTTATTTCTTGGAAGACCAAGAAACAATCAACAATATCTCTATCTTCAGCAGAAGCCGAATACAGAGCCATGGCCAAAACAACATGTGAGATCATCTGGATTTTGGGGTTATTAGAAGATCTAAAGGTACAAGTAAGAAAGTCTTTCCTTTTATACTGCGATAACAAAGCTGCAAATGACATCGCAGCAAATCCATTATTCCATGAAAGAACAAAACATATAGAGATTGATTGTCACTTTGTCAGAAACAAGATACAAGAAGGGGTAATCAAAACTCTGCACATTCGTACTTCAGAACAACCAGCAGACATTTTCACAAAGCCATTGTGCAGCAGACAGCATTCATATTTACTTAGCAAGCTTGGAGTTTTTGACATTTACAAACCACAAGCTTGAGGGGGAGTGACGAAATATGGAATGCACAAATTCCTTGATTCATGCTGGTTGTGATCAAGGAGCAATTCTCTCATTCAATCAATCCATAATTTATGTGATTGATTGAATAATTACATTTAATTGTATTCATTGTTTTCCATTTTTACAAGTACAAAAGATGTATAAATTAGCACTGTACAGATTAATACAGCAATGAAATATACAGAAATCTTTTCCTCTTTTCTCTTCTCTCGGCATACTTTGGCAGTATCAACATCCTGAACTGCTACTCTTTGCCTCTTCATATCAATTCCTTACATTATTTTCAACATAATTTGCTCAAGATTTTGCTTCTCATAGATTTATTCAAGTGGTAAAGTATTGTGTTGTTGCATTATTTTCTTTCAGATTATTGATATTATATTAGTACATTTGCTTAAGGTTTAGTGACTTTTTTAATTTTTCACTAGTTGTTTGACAAATAATGGGGGCCACGAAGCGGCCCGCGCCCCCCCCCCCCCCCCCCCCCCCCCCCCCCCCCCCACAAAAATCTGGGTCCACCACTGCACATAAGTTAAAACATTGTATTTTGTATCTAAAATTTATACCATATAAGATTAAGACATTGTATTTAGTACGTGAAATTTATTATACTACTTCTAAATAATTCATATATAAAATAATATTTTAATTTGTAATTAATTATATTATTTCCATCTAAGGTCGTACTATACAAGGGTGCTGTCACGATTCATATCATTCAAATGGCCAGGTAAGGTAAAATGTGTAAGGATTCATATCGTTCAAAATGATACATACATCAATTGTTTTATATAATAGTTCTAATACTTCAATAATTCTGCATATCTCAAGCTTTCATATCACTCCATACACGACACTGTTAGTCTTATTCCTTGTTGTGATACTTCTCTCCACCCCTTCTTATGCTCAACCTTTGCCAAATGGTGATCAGCTAGGTAGGACAAAAGCTGAAAAGTCTCCCACCATCCTATCAGCACCATTTACAATACCACCCAGCCTTAGGGGATCAACAGCAAGGCTCCCTCCGGCTCAGTCAGAAAGGACTAAATCCGAAAAGTTTTATACTGTGCTTTCTGCACCATTTACCATACCACCAAACCTTGGGGGAGCAACACAAAGGCTCCTCTGTTGGACTTGTCGATTACTTCAGCATTAATGGGTTACGCAGACCTATTCGGGAGCCCTGCTCCTCGGTGAGCAGGGGGGGGTCGAGAGGGCAGTGCCCCTGGCCCATAGGCAGTTTGAGTCTTTTCCATATATAACTGTTATAGTTTCTTTAAATCATCTATTCTTTATTGGGTTTGCGCTTAGGATTATAAATCATTGTAAAACTAGGTTTTGTCACTTTAAACCTAGTACATAAATATATTTTTCTCTTGTTATGAATGTGATAACAATCATAGGGCAATTCATTCATTGTAAATAAGAGAAGTAATGAAATATTGTAATAATATTAACTCAAATAAACGCAACCCATATTGGATAAACCATGATAAATCGCGCATGTTATTTTCTTTCTGTTTACTATCTGTGATTTGTTTTACTATTATATTGGTTTTGTTGTTGTCTCTATTTCGTTCACCCTCGGGTTCAGGCAGAAAGGACTAAGTCTGAAAAGTTTACCGTGTTGTCGGCACCATTTACTATACCACCGAACCTCAGGGGAGAAACGCCAAGGTTCCCTCGGGCTCAAGGCACAGAAAGGATTAAATTCGAAAAGTTTACCGTGCTTTCGGCACCATTTAAACTACCACCGAACCTCAGGAGAGCAACACAAAGGCTCCCCAAGGTTCAGGCAGAAAAGATCAAATCCGAAAAGCATTATACTGTGCTTTCAGCACCATTTACTATACCACCGATCCTCAGGTGAGCAACACCTAAGCTCCCTATGCAGGGCAATGCTCCATGGCGATTTCCATGACAACTACTGGCACTTGAACCTGGCGAGAAGTGACCAATACTATTGCTATACACTCATAAAAAAGATCAGCTGCAGATTTCGACTATGCTCGATATTATGATATTAATTTGTCATTTGTTTACTCTGTCGACTCTTGGTGTTGATTATGAATAATGAATGAAAAGTGTTGGAATTAACGTATCTCGTATTTTCATAAACCATCAACAGTGCATTTGTTGAATGCAAAATCACCATTCATGTGCTCATTAATATCATTAGATATATTCAGTTATGCATATAAAAATTCAGTCTTTTCACAATTAATTATAAATAATCCAGATTCCAGAGCAGTTACTCTTTTGGATGGGTGTATATAGACCTTATTTCCTATTCATAAGATCTATATATAAAGCCATTTTGATATAGCAAACTTACGTTTAATTAAAGACTGAATATCGCAATCGGTTTTGAAAATATAATAAATTAAATGAGACCGAGCTGCTCTAAAATTATTATTTCACTTATAAAAACTAGCTATTAAGTAGGGAAAACAATAAATTAAATTAAGGTAGACGCTGATCACTGCAATACTAAGCATTAATTCTTTTATTGCGCAGGAACTTATAATTTTATGCTCATAGGCTCTCATTAAAATTAGGTGGAACTTAACACCACCACAAATATATATTTATCTTCCGTTTCTTTCAATCAACCTCATCCTCATTCATAATTGTAGCAGCTACAAGATTTTTTGCGGTGTTAATTAAACAGAAGAAAAGAATAATATATGATTCACATTCGAAGTTGCGAGATATAGCAATGTGTATCACCCACTTGTACAACACTAATAGTTAAAGGGGAAGTAGACAGGCACGTGATTGTACCTAAAATTGACGCCTTAACTTGAAAAACTAGTAGTATTAGGAACCACATATATACATATATGAAGTTGTATTAATTTGTGACCACGTATCAATGAATCTAAAATGGTAATAAAAACAAATATCTGCTTGTGTATTTTCTCTAGGAAGTGCAGATTTTTGTTTTTTGGTGTAGTGCTATCTGGAGTGAGTGGGCAGCAGTGTATAGATTTAGTCTTAGGGTGATTGTGCTGCCTGTGTAAAGGGGTGGGTTTTTGCTCCTTGCTCCTTGTTGTGGGTGCTGTTAGTTCTGGGTTAGGATTGTTTATCCTTGGATTTTTTGTTCTTTTTGTTAGGCGTGGCTCTTGGGCATGTCCAGGAGTCGGCTCTGCAGGACTATCAGTGTCTCAGGATGTATGTAAATGTGAATGGAGAAAATGACCTGTTCTGTTGGAACTAATACAATTATCATGACCCAATTCATCATCATCGTCATCTATATTACTGGTGCTTTCATTTTCATGCCTTAATTATGTGCCACGACCGCGGACTAATTCTCCTTTCTTGAGAAAATGTGGAAACCAGCTGGCTTCTCTTTGATGTAATCACACCTGAAAAAATAATTGCAATTTCATGAATATAACTAAATTTAAACTAATATCTTTTTACCTCAGAATTTAATTTCTATTAAAATATGAAAGATTGTAAGAAGATAAGTAAAAGAAAAAGACGTGGATGGAACACAGGCTTTTCCAATTCTAACTTTATAGTACTATCCAAATTAGAAGTATCCCCAAATTTCCACCTTTCCGACTGATTACTGAGTAGGACCAAAATCATCCCCACCATATTAATTTGTGGTCCAATAATTCAAACCTACTTCGACTTATGTTCACAAATACCTAAGCTTAACTAAACCAACAAGACTTTGACGCCCTGCATGGCAAGTAGAGCACCGGTGACCGAGACCTCTATATAAGCAGCTCTTCTACTCCTATTTTTACCATCAAAACCAAAACAATCAAAATGTCTCTCACCTATTTGCTAGTACTGCTCCTTGGAGCTTTGCTTCTCCCCTCTCCATCTCTCGCTAACTATGGCTATAAGCCACCCGTTTACACGCCCCCCGTAGAGAAGCCACCAGTCTACAAGCCCCCCGTTGAGAAGCCACCAGTCTACAAGCCCCCCGTGGAGAAGCCACCAGTCTACAAGCCTCCCGTGGAGAAGCCACCAGTCTACAAGCCTCCCGTGGAGACGCCACCAGTCTACAAGCCTCCCGTGGAGACGCCACCTGTCTACAAGCCTCCCGTTGAGAAGCCGCCAGTCTACAAGCCCCCTGTTGAGAAGCCACCAACTTACAAGCCCCCTGTTGAGAAGCCACCAACTTACAAGCCCCCATCTCCTTATCAACACAACTGATTCGTACTATGAAAACAGATAGGCAATAACTAAGAATAAGAGCTCTTGCAGTTGCAGACTCATGTTATGCTTTCTTGTTGAATTATCAGTTGTTGCATTGGAAATTATGCTGATGCCAGTGCATTGATGAGTTTCTTTTTTGCATGTACGTAGCTTATCTGCATGTTAGCTAAATATCCTGAATTATCGAATGTAAATCCACTGTAAAAGGCAGTGATCTAGCTGCATGCAGTGTTATTTATAAGATATTTCCTCTGGATTATATGCATGTTTATGACTTCCCAGATGATCTCAAGCCCGATTTCACTGTGTTCTTCTGCCGCATAAACAATTCTTGTCAGACTTATATATATTAACAAGAACGAAAGTAGCATAATAGATATTTCTTTCAGTACTAGTTAAGTACAAGTACGGAGTCCACTTTATAAGTCAAAGACATTAACTCCAGATCTGAGATGTGATTTATAGAAACTATTCAGGTTGGAAAATATCAAGATTTGCATGCAACTGCAACTGGGAACTCATGAACCAGGGGTTACTCATATCAAATATAACCAATACAATTTAGATGACGATCACTTGGAGTAAGCAAATTAATTGAGTTCTTAAAGTTTAGTTATAAGAATCACTTGATACATCATTTTTTTTTTTCAAGAATAGTTGTATGCATTGATTTGATTTGGATGCCTTCTATAATCCCTTTAACAAATGTTGCGTCCATCAACACTTTAGTTGGTGGATAGTGGTTATGGTGATGGATCTTAAAATTTATCTTTGTCTAAGATGACTTAATATTTACTACTTAAAACAACAAATTATTTTATTTTAGTAATTATTGAGATATAATTAATTAATTCCAAGTAGAGTAAGGTATAAAAAATAATAAAGAAAAGTGAAAACTAAATAACTCTTTTATCTTTTATGAAACCAAAGTGTTGAAATCTAAAAAAATAGAAATTGATAACAGTTTAATAAAATAAAAAAAAATCTAGTATTATAGCATAGAATTACACAAATATATTATGAGATTATAAAAGGTTAAATAAAAAAATTAAGAGGTTTAATTGATAAGGGTATAATGAGAGTTAGTTAAGATTATAAAGAATAAACCACTATTGAATGACTTAATAATAAAAGAGTAAAAGAAAATTTTATAAATTTTTAAATTTGAATTTTCTCGAGCACTAATAAAATGGTTACTGAAACTCTTATCTGATCGGTAATTTTAGGACATAAGAGATTATTTGAAATGGATGTAAATTTGTCCGATCATTCTTTACGATTAAAAAAAAAATAAAAAGTATAAAGAATGTTTAATAAAACAATAAATGAAGTCAAATCAATCAGACAACCCTATGAACATGCATACGTGTGAATCCTCTTGCGTTATATGCGAAATTTGGAGACATTATGAACCAATTCGTCAACCAAAATGATCTCAAGTTGGATATAAAAACTTTTCGCTGCATAATTTTTAATTCTCTTTTTCTTGTCTTTTTATAGAATCAGACAATTGTTCCTGATAAGTTTTATAATACAGCTGGATTCGATGATGAAAGTTGCATATATTTAAATATAAGTGCAATTAACAACAATAATTTCTTGAATTGCACTTCAACTGCCCCCTCCAATATCAAACAGCAGCTTGTTTGAGCTGATTTCTTGCCTAGATCACGATCCGCGAATTCATCAGCAGTGCACTCCATTAGTATCACAGTCAATTTCAATGTGCCAAAATTCTCATAATATACTCTTTGATTTGATTTGTGAACTACAAATATTAAAGTTCTTGTAGCTACTTTGTCTTGACTTGCTATGGTGGATACATCTGTACCTCTGGGTCCTTCAAATCTTGTTTGTATGTCTACAATTGTCAAAACTTCAACCAAATGTTTGACAAATGTCCTCCAGAGATTCTCCAGTCCTTGTCACCGCCAAAACCTTGAGCAAATTATAACTTAAACTTGAGCCCCTAGTTTTGTATTAATTTTTTACCCTGTATTAACGTCTGATTAACACCGACCTACGCCTAAGAACAACCTAGAGCAGATACTGAAAAATGTTGGCTCACTATTAAATTGATAGCTGAATACTTTCACCATGTTAAAACCATTGACTCAAATTCCATAAAACCATTGACTGCTATATGTTGTGTGATCAACCTCAACACATCACATAATTAATCCACATGAATCCAGCAATAATTTGAGGAAAATGGGGAAAATGGGAAAAGAGAATGATGAGCTTGACAGCCCGATGGGAGTATGAACGGCAAACATCACATGTGGTTTTAATTAATCCACATGAATCCAGCAATAATTTGAGGAAAATGGGGAAAATAGGAAAAGAGAATGATGAGCTTGACAGCCCGATGGGAATATGAACGGCTATGGGGAAAATAGGAAAAGAGAATGATGAGCTTGACAGCCCGATGCGAGTATGAACGGCTATAATTTAAAAAAGAAAAAAAATATATTTTAATCAGTTTTTTGTTACTGTCTCTAATCTTTATCTCTGGTTTCATTTCCTTTTCCGCCGACACGCTTTTGTTTAGAAAAGAAATAAAAAATTATTTTAATCTGTTTTTTGTTACTGTCTCTGATCTTTATCTCCGGTTTCATTTCTTCTCCCGCCGACACGCTTCTGTTTTCCTTTTCTAATCTTTGAAACCCACTAACTGATTTTTCCTTCTTACTTTCCTTTTTTTTTTTTTTTTCTGTTATTCAGCGGCTGCCAGATGCCATTCCTGGTAAGTGATAACCACTTCGGTACTTACTGGCAAAAATCATGTGGACACCTGGCATAAAGCATATGAACCATGTATCTCAAAGCAAATCTTAAGTTTCTTATTTGGGGTAATGTATTGTTGGTTGGAAAATAATAAACTCATAGAAAGTAACATATCACCGAATAATATAGCATAATTTTAATTGTTGATTAATTATAAATTAATATTAATTGATAGTTAGGATTATATCACATTATTTAGTGTATAAATTCAATGTACTATTTTTTGTGACTATAACATTACTCTTGTTCGTTATATTGACTTATAAATAAAAAAGTTATTAATTAATTCAGCTAGAAATTTAAAGGGTTATAATAATAATTTTTTTTTTACAACTGGAATGTCCAAACCAGCCTACGTACGCTTCAGCTAATCCTTTAGGGTTCTAGAACTACTAATCAGGTAAGAACCGCAGTGATCATCCTTATTAATGTTTGAGAAAATTTGAACTTAAGAACTTATAAAACTTTTTTTTGCTCTTTTGTCATCAAACCACCCACCCAATGATGATGAACTATAATAATTAACCATCTCAGTCAATCATTTACATTTATAATCAATTTATTTAATTAAATATCAACCTACCTTCATCCACTTAAAAGAAAAAAAACACATTTTTTTCATTTTCAAACTCTCACATCATAAACATCATATCAAACAAGCAAAAGCATTTAACGATTCATATTATATCTAGATAACATCATTGATCGGAGCAAAATGTCTTTATATCCATGCTTTTTTTGAATTTGTTAGTCTAACAGTAAAAAATGTTAAATGTGGGCTTGTAATTGTAGTTTGTGCTGTTGATAATTTATTACAGTATTATTGCAAGACGGTTTTGTGAACTTATGTCAAGCCTGAAATTCCCAGTTAATGTGGAATATCACACATTAACCCTGCTTTTGCATAGTTTTATTAAGTTTTATCATTGACATTGTTTTTAAAATTGATTATCCAGTTTGCGTAATTTTCACGCTAAGTATCGCAATTTCATTTTAAGGCCAAATCAAACGAACTCAATCTCTAACACTTCTAAATATAATCAATCCAGTAACACCTACAACAACTTCCAAAAAGAACATAAACAATCTCTAAATTCACTGAAAACTAACAATCTTTAGTGTTGAATACTAAATTCATCCGATTAGTATGACATAATTAAACATTTTTTAGTCTCTAACTCTTTAATAAGTCGTGTTGTGAAAGATAATATGGAAAATATACCAAAACAGAGTGCATCTATATAGCCATAACTGGAGTAGATGATGAGTTTCTCAGATTCCAAAACACAATCTCAGGCACCTTATTATATCCACATTCCTTAAATCTCTTCTGAATTACTTCATAATCAGTTTCCCAGCTCTTTCTCCACCTCTCCTTCCCACCTTTGAAATCCATGTTGCCATCTATATCGTACTCTATCTCGTAAGTGCAACAACTTGCTTCATCAACTTCCATATCACTGAAAACAAATAGCCGTTTAATCATTTGATCTTCGCTCAACTTCTCCTCTATTGCAATTTCCAACATCCTGTCAAAAACTTTCTGCAAATCTGTGTTTCCACCCCCACTCCATATTGATCTCACAAAATCAGTCTTGGATTTAAGACCATCTCCCTCTATCAAGTGAAGCCGTGGCTCAGCACTAAATGTAATCAACTTCCCTTTCCACGCCTCCTCACTCAACTCCGACACCAATACACCGAGAGCAACGCAAACCTCCCTTGGTATTCCACACACACTACCGGAAACATCACAAATCACTATACAATTACTGAGCTTCCCTTTTTCTTAGCCTTATCATCAACCATTCTTGACCAATGAAGTTCAGCCACTCTTCACCGCACTCACCATTCAATGATTTAATTTCTCATGTGGAAGCAAACCTCCCGCAGCATCTTTGCCTTCCTACTCTTCACTTTCTCAAGAAACTCTTTAAATCTTTCTTCATCATGCTTCTTAAATAAACATTATATGTTTTCATTGCAACAGAAGCAATCTATTGTAAGGCAAAGAATTCCACTCATTTGAACTCATATAAACCTCAGGCAATTGGAGAACCTTATGTAAAGGCACAAGCACTTGCTTTCTTAACCTATCTCTAATCTAAGATACACATAATAAGCCTCTTCAAGACTCTCATTATCTTTATCACACTCTCTAGGAAAAACCCTTTTTGAAATCCCTTCGCAAATCAAGATTGTCTTATCAT